GCCATTGTAGGAATGGTGCCGTGGGGCTCTACAGCGTGAGCTATCCTCGGGTATCTGGCTTCCTCAAGAATGGTAGAGTAGTTCCTGTTCTTCCCTGAGGCAATGTAGGGCTGGTAACCATCATCTTCTCACTGTCCATAGGCAGAGGAAGTCCTTCTATATAATATATTTCTCAACTAGTTTAAGACAGCTAAAGATTCTTTCTGTTGCTTACAGTTGCAAGTTCTCAATCCTTGTTTTCGGCTTCAGCTTGCTGGTCCGAAGGCCACACGCTGGCCCCGGAGAGGCAGCGGAACGCCGGGCAGAGCCCTGGGTGGGGGGCCCGCCTCCCGCCGCCTTGCTTGTCACGGTCCCGGGGGTGGGGTGGGCCGGCGCAGGGCCTACTCCGCCCGCCGCTGCCTCGCGCGCTGGGCGCGGGGTCCCCGGGGGTGGCCAATAATGTTGATCACTTTTTATGTGCATTTGTTTTCTCTAGAAATCTTTGACCACAACAAGATTTTAAAAATGTTCTATGTTTTGGGTTTTTTTCCAGAAGCTTTTTACAGGTTTTAGCTAACTTAATTTTGAATAATCTATACAACAGCTCTTGTCAATTTACATAAGGCATTGACAACAGTTGGTGTGCTGTTAGTTTCTCTGTGTTTGAAAAGAAAGTGTTCACAATATCTAAACCTAAACAAAAGCAATTCGTTTTGTACTGACAGCAGATTTTGAAACTGGAAACCATCTTCTTCTCTGATGCCTTCTTTAACCTTGATATTCTGTTGTTACATCCTCTACTCCCTTTATTGCTCGGTGCTTGTTTTCCTGTATGCCTTTTAGTAGATTTGTGCTTTATCCTTTTTTTTTATTTGTCTTTTTTCTTCTTTTGGTAAACTGCCTCAAATCTTTTTTGGAACTGTGTAAATATAAATAATAAATCCAGAATACATTAACTAGTCATTCATTTTAAAGACAGTTATTTTTAGAGTAAGCTGACAGCACAGTTTTGTTGTTTTCAAATAAATTATATATTTTATTATAAAAATAGTATATACTTAATATATAAAATTTAACAGAGTTATAAAAAGGAAAAGAATACCATTTATACACACAGACCCTTTCCTTTTGCCATAGAACGTGTATGCTCATCACAGTGAGAGAGAGTAAAAGTAAGCAGTCACCCCCTCAGGGGGATGGTCACACCACAGTCCTTTCTCTGCCATTCTTCTCTCAAGATTCTTTGTACACACGTACATTTGTCTGGTGTGATTTTCAAGCTGCCACGTCTGGGACTCAAACTGGGGTTGGCCATGTGGGGGTCTTCAATCACCACTCCACCTGCTGGCTCCTCTTTTCCTTTTTTTTTTTTATACCTAATTGTTATACAGAAACTTAAAGATGCTTTTTTTTTGGGGGGGGGGACTATTTTTTGGTACTATAGGTTATATGCACTCACCAGAAAGATGGGGGACAGGAGAGCAGTTAGAAATCACCCCCCAGAAGGGATGGCCACACCACAATCTCTTCTTCTCCACTCAGGATTTTGGGCATGCACATGCATGCGTGTGCGCACACACACACACACACACACACGCACCCGGCCTGATTTTCAAGCTGACAGGTTCAGGCTCAAACCGCATAGTTGGCCATGTGGGATCTAGTTGCCCCAACTTTTATACCACATGCTGGCTCTAAATACCTTTTTAACTTTTTTTTTCATAATATTGCAAAATAAATCATATTTTTAATGATTACATAGTGATGTAATCATTAAAATCAAGATGACTAACGTATGATTAGCATCTCTCTTACCATCATTAACTTTTTTTTAAAGAATTATTTTATCCACCTTTAATTATTTATTTACCTATCTATCTATTTTAATTTGACCAGAGAGGGACAGAGAGAGAGACAGAAAGTGAGAAAGCCACCAGGTCCGGGACTCGAACTTTAGACTGCCATGTGGGAGTCCAGCACCCCTAGCCACCATGCCACCTTGCTGGCCCCCATTAACTTTTATCTTAGGTTTATAAAGC